ATGTGAGTTTCACGAGTCACTATTAACTCTTCACTCACTATTAGCCGAGATTCATGCTGAAGTTTCTTCGAAGCAGTTGAAGGTGATAACGTTTTTAGAGTGAGTGAATTGGCTTCAACTGCGATGAAAACTCAACTGACAATTTTCACAAAATATCGGTTAACTTTCTCAACATCCTGGTTATATTAGTTCATAAAACCTAGGAAAATGTTTTCAAGGAAAAAAATATTATTTTATCTTGCTCATTTAAAACAATAGTATGGGATTTCTTCTTAATTGATCAATCTCTTAATAGTTTTCGTAACTATACTATTCACGATAAATTCTCTGAGCGAATTTCTTATAAGGGTAGATCTACATTAGTACTTTTGGTGGCTCTATGTTAAACAGACTGGATTTAGAATCAATTCGATTTTTCTGTCAACTTCTGTAAAAATAATTAAAACTGGGCTATCATAGAGTTTTAGTTGCAATCCTGCTTTAAGCGAAATAAGCTTATGACACACACATAACACTGTTTATTAAAACAATCACATAAGGTAATTATCGATTAATCCCAAATACAATTAATATTTTAAAATTAAGCTAAAATAGCCATAAGAAAATAAAACAGATACCATTGTGTTTTCATATCCATTTAATCATACATTAAGACGGTCTTTTACAATCTTCGCGGAAAAATGACAGTACTTCTTCTGTCGTGTAACTGTCTGGTATGACAGTTGCATCGCTAAACGGGTCTATGGGCTGTGATGGTGATCCGCCTGAGAGACCAGACCCTGGATAGGAATGGGTGACAGTGGGTAGCTTGAAGTCTTCATGCATTACCTCGATCTTTTCTGCAGTCCAAGTAAGGGCGGCGACTTGACCTCTCCATTTGATCATAACTGATGGGTACGGCTCAGCTACGTTTATGGTCCTTAACGTGCAGACCAGTTTAGGTCTTTTATATTCAACATTTTTCTGTCCGCCTTCCACTTCAGCCTCGCTAGTAGCAACTCTGCTTTCGCAAAGTTTCGAGAATAACAACACAAAAATAAAAATCGGTACTTTCATTGTCACAGCGGCACGACGTGATTGTTCTGTATCTACTCGCGAATACTCGGTTCACTTGCAATTTGTCAACATCTTTATAGAGGGCATAATGTCATGTTGTCTTTAGATAATGAATCGTAAAAGTCATTAACTTAATTGCAATACCTATTAGTAAATTTCTTGACTGCTGGATATTAACAAAAAAATAGTTTTACACTAATAGGAAGATAGGGATTCATTTATTTTCCTCGTTAGCCTATTTTAGTCTTTACTGCAGGATGACGACCGTCTCTAATTTTCTAGATGCAAAAGGAGGGCTGGGCCCAAACTCCCCAATCCCCACCCTGGCTATAACGGGTTCGGGACAGGCCTGATTAACTTTCGCATATTATTTTCTTCCTTAGTCGCCTCTTAAGACATCCACGCGAAGAGTGAGAGTGGTTATTCTACTCTTCCGAAATCACACAATTATTTTTATAGCGAAAAAAATATCTGGCCATGTGTACTCCGAACCTTATTAAGTCATTTATTTATCGGGAAACTTGCCGAAACGTTTGCCTGGCTGGCCCCCAACTCTGTTTGTTTCCACTCGCCCTCGATATCTAATTGCTTTGGCTAATCGATCTTGACTTAGCACTTAAGTTTATTTGTTCGGGCATTTGTTTGCCGGCCGTTATATTTTGTTAATTGACAAGGTATCGAGTCAATTTGTTTGGGATTAAAGTTAACAATAGATTAACTGGGTACAAGTTTTCTAAAATTATTTTACGCTTCGAAGGATAAGCTTATTTTAATTTATTGCGAAATCGATACCTGTTAGAACTAAACTTCATCGATTTATTTTGAAGAAACCGGTTTTTTAAACTGTGAGATCCTTTCCTCAATAGCCATGGTCAGAAGTAGGAGTTTCTGATTCATGTGTCACGAAAGAAGAAGACTTGTATTTCAACAATTCTTGAGTTTGAGTTTCAGTTCTTGAGTTACGTGGGTTTGCACGCATTTTCAGTTTGATCGCTAACTTGTGATGACATGTCAGAATGACATGAAACATATCCTCGGTGGGGGAGAACCAAAAAAACACGCCTCGCATATCCTTGTCGTAACGCGGATACTAACGGCTTTACACAAAATCACATTAAATATTTTTTTACCAAAGTGGAGCGATGCGAATTGCTACATTTTTATGGGCTGGATTACATAAGTAATACGAAGCAAATATTTTCTAGCATCCAAAAAGACGGGCAGAGAGCAACAAATTGTTGTAATCCCTCTTCTTGAAGGAAATGTAATTCAAAGGCATTACGAGTGCCTTAGACGAGATAAGTAAACTAATTGTTCTAATTATGACCTGACTTTAGAAACAAGATTACCTAACCAGAGCGCCGTTTGCATAATTATTCGGGAATAAGATTAACGTGAAGAAATATAACGATAACGAGTTGTTACTTAATTTGCTAGGTAGGCGTTAACTGATAAAAGTCAAACAAAGTTTGATGTTGTTATGATAATGGAACTAACTTTCGTTCGTTCGTTCGTTTCAGCCAAATGACGTCCACTGCTGGACAAGGCCACCCCCAAGGTTTTCCACAATGAACGGTCCTGCGCTGCCTGCATCCAGGCTCTTCCCGCGACCTTTAGCAGATCTTCGGTCCACCTAGTAGGAGGCCTGCCCACGCTACGTCTTCCAGCCCGTGGTCGCCACTCGAGAACTTTCTTGCCCCAACGGCCATCGTTCCTACGAACTATGAACTAACTTTGGGTCTCGTAAATTCAAGGACAATTTCTAGGATAATAAATTATGTTGTGTTACCTTCGTCATTACAAATTACCACTTTATCCTCGTCAACATATACGTTCTGTAACGAACGTAAACGAATAGTAACTTTAATATATTCCAGTACAATTATTGGTTCTAATCTCTTAAACCTGGCAAGTTATCCACGGCCGGACGAGTTTCCCGGACTGTCCGGGGTGGAAACGTTCCAATTTCCGGCGACTAGACCGTCCGGGCCGGTGATTATTGACAATACCGTCCAATCAAACCAGATACTAATTATCAAAGACGTCATTCTTATTGGAAATCCCAAAAATACTTGAAGCGAATTCGGTCTTTTCTGAATGCTTTAACACTTTGTCGGGGATCAAGTAAATAATAAAATTATTTCCAGCGAAATATTTGTTACTATTCTGATAATTAATGGTAGTTCATCAGCTATATTGTATCAAAAACAGAAGCACTCAAGCCGAATTAGAATAGATATCTGAAACTTAACGCCCCTTTAGTGATTTATATACTGTCAAAACCAATCAGCTGGATTAGGGAGGAATGTTCGGAGGTAACTAAAGATTTCTCTTAAGATAAAACTCCATGTCAATTACAAGATGAATTTGTTGATCTGATTGAACAGAAGCCGCCGACAAGATAAGGCTGAATCCTGTTACGACTAAATCATTCTTAGAAAATGAATTTAGATTTGCCGAGTTCAAGTTTTCGGATCGCTTTGGAGTTTGGATTCAGTTCTTAAGATCACTTTAGACGGTCAGCGCTTTTGTCGGGCATTTAGGTGATATGTAAAACCATTCATAATTAAAATATTGATCAATAAATTAAAATATTTTTTCTATGGTGACTGAGTTTCTTGTTCTGCTTCTTCTCACCACTGGCCCATTTATTGTCCCGAAGCAGTGGTAGGGTTAATACTGGAACGTGTAAAAGTGCCGTTTAAAAGCCTATTTGCAAAAATAAATGAGTTTTACAGGTATTTTTTTTACTTATTTTATTTTTGTTAAGAATATTAGTGTTATAATGTATTATGGAATATAGAGATCTAATGTTTTTGTCTTCTGAGTCGTAAAAATATAATTTATTGACCAGCAAACCTCGATGGCTAATCAAACATCACCCGCAATTCTCGGTGGTCAAAATTGCTTGTCAACAATTTTAACAGTCTAGAGGGCTTTACATGTAACCGTTTCTGGGTAGGACAATAATTTACAACCCGGTTCTGAGAATTACCAGCACATTCTACGTGTAACAATTTGTGGGGCACAAAGGTATCTGATCGTGCTGCCAGACAGTTTTATGGCAATGTATGTCCTTAAAACCTACTCTTGATTTCTTCAGAGGATTTAAATTCACGCAATAACAGATCTGCAGAACTCGTAACGAGTTAAAATTTAAAAATTAGTTTTAAGTAAAAAAATTCGAAACATATTAATTGAAAGAGGACCTTTCAGTACAATAGTATCTGTAATTTTATCTTTTGGAATTATTTTACTCGGCAGCTGCGATAAAAGCTTTGTTTGGAATGGAAGAAGATAAATTAGTTATTATTATGATTAATTTTATTTTTGTATCGTCGGGCCTACAAGTCAATTCCCTAACGTCAGTTGCTATCTCTATAGCATAAATACAGTCAGCAGCATCAGACTATACCTATTCTTATAATACTTAAGGGGTCATCCATAAAGTACGTCACACGTAAAGAGGGGGGGAGGGGGTCGACAAAGTGTGACATGGTGTGACAAGGGGTGGGAGGGGTCCAAGTTTCGTGACATCACATTTCAATTGTTTCAAATATTCGATATAATGTTGATTTCATAAAAAAGTACTTAGTTTAAATGGAAATAAAACTAATTTCGGAACTGCTGTTAATTTAATAATAAATTNTTAATAGCACTTATTACAAATACTTAAGGGTGCCACAGCGTTTCGCTTGATGTACCGTCATCTGTAGGTACTATGTGTACGATAGATAGATTTTTCATTCTTCTTATATATGACCCACACGTAACAATTTGGTCAACACCCTATTATCATACTTAAATATTATAGTACTTATAAACATATGCGTCTGACGTAGATCTATTGGATCTTCAACATAGGAAGATCTGCAAAAGTTTGCGATATTTTTTTTAGTTCAACGAACGAACGAAACAAACCTAATAGTTGTCTCTTTCTCCAGGTTGCACGTGCATCCGCTTCACGTCTACGTACGGCAAAGAGCGCGGCACGTTCAGCAGTCCTGACTACCCGCGCCCGTACCCTGCACACGTGGATTGTCTCCTCTACACGTTCCTGGCCGCCCCGCACGAGATCGTCGAGCTGGTGTTCACTGACTTCGACATCTACAAGGAGCATCTCGAGTGAGTCAATAACACCTTTGTTTATAAAGCTTGCTTCAATCTAAAACATAAGAAAAAGAAAAATCATCGTCCAAACACATAAATTTTCCTCTACACGTTCTTGGCTGCACCGCACGAGATCGTCGAACTGGTGTTCACTGACTTCGACATTTACAAGGAACATCTCGAGTGAGTCAATAATATGTATTACCTTTGCTTTATAAGAAAAAGAAAAGTCATCGTACAATAAGTCACGCAGATATTTTCCTCTACACCTTATTAGAACCACATGAGATCGAGCTAGCGTTCACTAACTTCGACATCTACATTATAGGGAACATTTCAATTAACATGACTCAATGATATTACTTTTATTTACTTTTTTATTAAATGTAAGTATAACTTAAGAACTTGAGTCTGTGTAATCGCCGTGAATAACTCACACACACAGAAATTTTCAATGTACCAAAGCTGTTTTAAGTAAAAATTGTGTCACAGTGCGGGAGTATGGCAGTTGGCTAAAAAAATCCAAATCACGTAAATAAACTGTGCTGTGCGTGCTCCTGATGTACAAACCAGGTCAGAAAACCAATACCTGTCTTGTGCCTGTCTAATGAAGTTATGAAGCATCTGTCGAAATTGTAAAAAAATATCTGGTAAGTAATACGATGTTATTACTTTAACCATCGAGGTTCCACCATGCAGAAAATGTTATGACGCAGTTTCAGGCAGCGTAATGTCATCTTATACAAGCGCAGATTTCAACGACTTAATACCGCTTCAGTCGCTCGAGTAGTTCATACAAAACTATGTGCTAAGACTGTTAAATCGAACATCGTGAGCACGCAGCAGGTGGCAGGCGGGTGCCGCGAGTTATCGGAAATATGCGACTTGCGTACCAACTCTCTGGCTCTTGTTTTATCGATATAACCCCAAGTTGACTTTTGTACGTGAATACTCAGGCATAGTTGGAGAAGAACAGTAGAACATCTGTGTTACAAATTGAAATGGTGACCATGATTGTAAATTATTGTGAATAAGCAGACAGTGTGGCTCGCACAGCGATACATCTACAGCACGAAGTTTTGTCTGCACGAACGCTAGACTGCAAGAGATATTAGTTAATAGTTACTTTTGTACATAGTTCATACAATTTACTCAACCAAATATTAAAAACTTTAATCTATGCCCAAAATTACAACCTGCAAAATTAAAATCGGCTATCAACTGCCTTTGGACGCAATTATGCAGGACTAATATCACCTATCGTTCCCATGACTGTAACTCCAGACTGAAAAAACCTAAAGCTTGGCTATCATGTGTATCTTACTATTTTCTTTGCACTATACTCTAGGTCAGCTAACATACATCGCTGCGCATGTGGTTCCTTACCATATATGTACCCAAACCACGACCCCGTAAAAATGGAGCTACTTCTGTATTCTGCATTAAAATCAACTTCACCAGACTGAAACAAGCTAAAAATAAGTGTTTATAAATATTTGACGACTACAATACAGCTGTGAATAATAGAGTTAGTATATTTTTAAAGTTTAGAAGCGGTATGTCGGCTTCCCGCCGGCGAAGTTGAATTCGCAGCAGTCCGTTATTACTTGTTGAAACTTCTCTATTTCGCAAAGCCCATTTGGAAACACTCCATTTCTGAGCATCTCAACTTCGCTTTTAGAAAATTGCCAACTTCGAGTTAAATAATTAAATAACTGAATATAAATTTGGTATTATGACAGTAATCACTATATTACCTTTGCAAACGAGTTTTTAATTGAAGGCTCAACGCAAATTTGTGGGGCTTTATAGGATCCTGTTTATTGAATGTGGTCACTGAAATAGCGTTAACGGATTTAANTGGGTTAATTACCTTTTATTGCTTTAATGAGTTAGTTGAACAGGTGTATTGTTACTGTGGTTTTTTGTTTGGTTTTCGGAGGCCGGCGAGTTGGCTGCAAAAGCGTATGTAGTCGATCATTGTGTTGCCGTTTTTTTGGATGATTGGCGCATCGTTGAGGGCGTAGTCGGCTTCTTTTTCGGTGAAACGATCCCCGAACGTCATCAAGTCGTGTCGGATCCTGAAAAAAAAATACGGTTCTAAAATCTTATTCTTTGATGTATAGAACAGGAAATACTAAAAAAATACGGTTTTTAGGTAAAAATTTTTGTTATTATTTGATGGACGCAGATGGAGATAGACCTTGTGGCAGACATAGAAGTTATTTTGCTACAAAAATGTGAAGATTGTTGTTTGTAAAGGGCAAAAATGAAAAGATTTTCTCTACCCATTTGAGAAATATAAACTGTCGCAACCGTAGAAGTAACATGTAAACAATGTATGTTGTTGTTAAATAATAGTAATCCAATGATTGTCCTCCAAGTTATGCTCCAAACAATATTAGTAACTCAAGTGCTTTGGCTTGTTCCTATAAACTTAGGATTAGCAATGAAGACATGGTTATGGGACCGTTTGGTTACTAAACTTGTAAAGGGTATATCAAGCTAAACACGAGCATCTTATGTAGTTGGAATAGGAGTGATTTTGCATTAAAAAATTGCAGACTCAATCAGCTTATGTCTGAAATATGGGAAATTCCTAGTCAGGTTTGGGACATTGCATGCTTAGTTCAACCTCTAAAGTCCTAAAAATATGATTCCATGTTGGACCTAGGTCATGTTATCGTTGGTCTAATTGATGATCTATGTCAGACGTCAAATGTAGACGCCGATGGTCCTTCGAGCCGGATAAAGTTATAAAGCTCATGAGATCTGACACCAGGGCTGTGACCCCAAATAAAAATAAAAAAGGAATACAAATAGAAATTAGACTTCTGTCCATTTAAGGTATGAAGCGAAATTATGACAGTTTATTTTGATCATCTCGTTAAAAGTTTTGCTTAAATTACCATTCCAAAATATTCTCTCTTGTAATAACTTCAACTTTTGCCATTATTTTCAGTTTAAATTACGCTTATGAAACAGAAACTTTTAATTTAATGGACTAATTTGTTACTCAATTAACGGCTACCAAATTACTAGGTATCTTTGTAATTCAAGCTTCTTGTAACTGAGGAATGTTTTCAGCAGAACAATGATTATTATCTCTTTTGTGAATGAATTCAAATGGCAAAGCATAAGAAAAACCGATTTAATTTTCTCTAACAACACTAACAAAGGTAGTTCCAACTAAACGGGTTAGGTATAACCAAAGGCAAAAACAAAGCTAAAATTAATTCGACTTCTGTATGGTTTCTAATCCTTGTTTCCTTAAAAAAATCTGAGGATTATCCGGGAATATTCCCGTCGTCGACCTAAAGTTGAGAGTTTAGCATAGTCCCTACTTCGGGAGACGAATTTTGTGCTTCGACTATCTCTCTCTCTATCTTGGCTCAATGAAAGTGTGAGAGAGCGAGACAAATAGGTCGAGCACGTTTAACAGAATATGACCTCAGATTATTCGGGAAATTTTAATAAACCAGCCCCTGAGATTTCCATGTACGCGACCGAGTAATCCGCTTTGTGCTGTCGTTTGATTTACTTTGAGAGTAATGTGACTTATACCTATCTTATGTGTCCTAACTATTTTGAAATTCATGTGGGCTACCATGAATCTTAACTTGGGAGAGTGATGTTCATATTACACGTGTCGGAATGAAATCATTTTATATTTTCTTTAATCTTTTTGATTGCATTTAATAGACTCGAACCCCCAACCTATTGCTTGCCATGCCATTGACCTACTCAGGTAATGGGTACTATCGGGGACTCGGACGCCTTGACACCTTAAGGGCCTAAATTGTTTGAGACACACGCTCGATTATGCTACGCCCCCGTTCATTCATGTTTCGGGTCTAAGCAGCGTCGGCGCACCACTGTAGATGTTTGCCTTAGCAAACCAAGCTCTATGTAAAGCGTTTAGGATTGAGTATTGCTTATTACCCGCATCCGTAGCGCTCGTTTGGCAAAGTCGCATTTTAGTCAATTTGAAACCCAATAAAGAATCGCTACAAAATATTATATGGGGCTTCGATAAAATTTGAACTAGCGATTGCCCGCTCGGGTCACAAAATTGGTATCGCACATTGTAACTGTGCAATTTCCCGAGAAAAAAGTAGCCCTTTCTATAATTATTGTTGATATTAAGAGTGTAAATCTCATGATATTAGTTTAGCTAGTTAAGGCGAGAAATACAAAATCATACAGTTACTTTAGAATTTTACTTATTTAATAGGTATTTAATTTATTCGGAACTTATAATTTATAAACAATATGTTATTGAATTAATTAGTAAAGAGTTAAGGAATATTTGTGGCTTAAAAACAATTATTGTAAGATCTGGCTACATAATAACTTTCTTAAATCCTTGAATGTAGATAAAAACCTATAATAGGTTCCTATTTATTTTTAATACATTAGCAACTTTTGTTTTCCGTTTTAAAGAAACACTTATCTACGTTATTACAATTTAATACAAATATTGCACTAGGTAGCAATGATCCAGGTAATTGGTTATCGTAAATATTATAATAAGTATTAAGTTAGTTTTATTTCAAATTCAATTTTTTATTGCACATTAAGTGTCTTTACACAAGGTCTTAAATCAATAACAATTAAACTTTAAACGAAATAATACTTAAACAGTTAACAATGTATAGATAAGTATGTAAGTAAATATTATGTATAAGAATTAAGATTTATTTTGAGAGGCATGGTTCAGTAATCGCGCGGAGGTCAATAAAAAGGCAATCAAACAGTCCAATTACTAGCACGGGTCAACACAAAACAAAATCAATCGGTTATTGATCACAAAACTTCACAAAAAAACAAAGAAGAGAATATGTCGACAGTTCGCCAAAGTAAAAAGCAGACAGACCTCGTATAAAAACACAATATTAAAAAAATACATATCTATTTGTTTGTAACCAAATTCTATTATAAAAATTCTAAGGCTGAGTTGCACCATCTTACTTTAACTTTGACAAACGTCAAAAGTCTGTCAAATTCCATACAAAAAGCACCGGTTACCGTTATAGCTACGGTCAAAGTTAGGTGGTGCAACTCAGCCTAAAACTAAGAAAGATTGAAGAAAAAGAAACATTTCGTTTTAAACCTTAACCGTATGACAATAAAGTGCACAATGGTATTTCGTATTGCAACCTAAGCCCTGATTGTCTCTTATTGGTCGTAGTAAAAATATAGTAAAATGCGTAACCAATTAGAGACGGGGTGAGCACGTGACCGGAGCGATGCGCTTACGCTAAAATTTCTACAAAGTGGTCAGGCGGAAGAGTCCCCGATAGTACCTTGACAAAATTATTAAAAGTGATCTAATAAGGAAATCATTATTATTATATTGATGGAACGAACCCTAGCTCAGAGCTTAAAAATCACTAGAGATTAGAGTCTATTTTCCCTTAGATATTATTTAACTTAACGTTGCGTTTCTCAAAACAAAATTGTGTTGGTTTTTGGAGAATACTCTGTCATGTAATTTTTCTTGCTCCACGCTACAAATTGTGAAATGTACAACGCCAGCCTAAATCATAGCATCTCAGGTTAACTGGCGAATATATCACCCGAATAGCAGAAAAAGTAATTTAATACCAGGGGTGGCTGGCGGCCGCGCCGTGTCGGCTACAGACTTTTTAACTTGCTACTTACTGTTATATTAACCTTGTAACATTCATCTTCAATTGTTTTATTGGATACAAAGGATAATTATTTTACACATGTAGGTAATAAACCTGGATAGCCCTTTTTATTATTGTCATCTTTTTTCTTATAAATGAAGAAATCAATCAATGAAGAGGAAACAATTGTTCACTCCATTTTCGATGTTTTTGTCTTATGCCCGTTTTCACCATCAATCCGTAATTTTTAAGTAACTCCTATGAAAATAAAATGCCGGGTATGTGTTACCATAGGAGTAGGTACATATACCATGATCATTATTGTGTTGGTGACCATGAAGTTTAAAACAATATACCATAGCATTATTGTCTTATTTTTGTGTCAGTGCCCTATTCAAATAGAGATTCGTACAACTGGACAAGTTCGTAATTTCATCGCTATTTATTTACAGCGTTTTAAATGACATTATTTAATAGGTAAAATAAATAAATCTGAAATATTATTAATAAACATGTCACGTCTTGTGCCGCGAATTTCAGCTACCACTAATTTAACTTAAACAATATAATTAATGTAAGTTGCGTTATAGTTATGTATATAAGTGGATCCTAGATTAATAATTCAAGGGTGTTCGCTTCCAGGGGCGCACTTAGGGCCCAATGTAATTAATTTACGTAATCACCAAGTAATAACCACCACAAACTGCTCGAATAGGGCAACTTATCTAATCTCCGAGGTATTGGGTGCGCCAGAAAGTTTCCCTTCAAATTATTAACAATATGTTCAACGCCGTATCTCATGTTAGTTTACGCTAAAACTTTACAACTTTTGTTATTCTGCAGAACTGGCGAAGATATTTGATCGAACTCAAATTAGAATAGTATTCTCAGTTAATACATAGCTGGTAAGTTTGAATTAATTGGTTTTCTCGAAAATGTCTGTAGTCAGTGTATCAAACTTGAGATCAAACGTGAAATCTATTTGAATTGATATTATGACCTAAAAACTATTATGATGACCTATCCTGAATATGAATCCCGAATTGTCCTTTTCCCATCGTAAAGTGCTGCTATCAGAGTATCCTTTGAGTCAAGCTCATAAGTTTTGTACCCGAACAGATTAACAAGACGGACAAAATCTTCTCAATTCCATTGAGTCAAGCTCTAGAGTTTTGTACCCGAGCAGATTGACATAACAAACGCATCGATTATGAGACAAGGAATAGTTTAATGAAAACTATAATCACCTCTCCTCAGAAATAAGTCTCGAATTTTCCTTGTCCCACCGCGAAAGCCACCAGCGTATCCTAGGAGTCAAGCTCTAGTCTAGAGTTTTGTACCCGAGCAGACTGACAAACGCGTCGAAATGTCCATAATTCCAAATAACATAATAAAAAGCAACAATAATCACCTCTCCTCAGAAATGAGTCCCGAATTGTCCTTGTCCCACCGCGAAAGTGCTGCCACCAGCGTGTCCTCGGAGTCAAGCTCTAGAGTTTTGTACCCGAGCAGATTGACAAACGCGTCGAAATCCAGCGGATTAGGGGCCTGGAAAAAATATCCATTTATTTTACGCACCATTTAGAAGAGTTAGAATTTATTTGCGCTCTAACAACTTTCGGGTCGGGAAAATTTTGCCAGACATAATATTTACGTTACAAGCGGCAAACTAATGGCATATTGCTTTTAAAAAGATATAGAAATGCTATTGATAATAATTATGGAAATATTTATAAAAAAACTTTTTGAAATCTAATCAAAAATTGTTCGTTTGAGTTCCATTATCAGCCGTGTACAAACTCTTGCGATTAAATTGAGTTTAAGAAGCGGAAAAGGAAAAATACAAAACTGTTTATGAAACTCGCACACCCTAAGATAAAGTAAATTACGATAACATTGTAAGGGAATTCCGAAAAATTGTGTCTACAACATGAATTGAGTGTAAATAACTTTCCTTTAGATTATTTTACTCCGCTACATTTTTACGTCGGTAAAGTTTGCACAATCTATCTATCAGTTTGTTGAGAGACAGATAGTCTCAGCAAAATATTATTTTTTATACGCCTGACTTGAGAATGATCGGCTCCCCATATAAAAAGCATAGGTCCCAAACAGAAATCTAAATTTATAACTTGAAGAAATTAAACTAAAGGCGGGAATTGAACCCACGACCTTGTCTGATCTGAAGAAATCTGAAAAAGCCTAATGCCTCCTCTTGGGTATGATTTATCTCAATACTATAATATTCAAGCTGAAAGTTTTTAAATAAAGAGGAATAAATATTTTCAAATTTACAAGTATTATGTTGCTTTGACTAACTAAAAAACAATTTACGAATGTTTAAATTTTAAAGTAGTACCTAAGTCTTGACTTGTTTTTTAATATAGGTTATTTATTTGTTTAGGTAGAAATACTGCTTTATTTATTACAATAAATAAATTAACTATAAGCTTAACTTGCCGAAACAGCAGAACGGTTTTATGTTCAGAGTCTGTCTAACCGACCTTCGTCCAGAGGAAGTTCGTACCTCGATGTGACATAACATGTTTTACTCTGCCGCGATGGCCGGTCGAAATTCGGAAGAATTCCGATAAATATTCTCTGTGAAAAGTTATGTATGCGACCACGTCAAAAAGGGAAATATCTGAATTATTAAATGCTTTCATTTATGAATTTGTGAAATTCAGTCGCCTCTGTCATTGTTATAATTAAATAGAATCAAGGCATGTTTGGGATATTAAAGTATAATAATATTGCATTGTATCCAAGCTTTAAAATTTCAATATTATCTTACGTATTTTTCTATAAAAAACGGATATAATCTTTGTCTTATTATTTTACTAGCTTTTGCTAGCTGCTTCACCCGCATGAAATTTAGTTTGTCACAGGTCGTCATAAATTATAGCTTGTATGTTATTCTGGGATAAACAATAATACTGTAAAGTTTCATCAAAATCCGTTAAGTAGGTAGTTTTTCCGTAAAAGAGAAAAAAACATGTTCACATCCAGACATCCATACAAACTTTCACGTTTATAATATTAGTAGGATAAGTTTTATTTTTATTCATTTTTTTATTTATTTATTTTCACCAACTTAAGTTGTCTCGAAATTTATTATAGTCGTATATAGTGACAAACAAAAAACCAATTAAATACCAAATACACGTTGTGTCTATTTAATGACGCGTATCAGCGATTCAACTTTGAGCATCGTTTCATTGAGCCTTTGCTTAACCTTAAAAAACCATCAAAACACACCACTGTCTTGTGAAAATTCCGCTTAGAATATGTCTATGTAATAATGTTTGCATTGATCGTATCTATTTCAAAGGGTACCGGGTTCGATTTCCTGTCCCGTGTCACAGTGTAGATTGACATCGCTTTGGAGATAGGATGGTAATCCGTACCTTCTATTGAAGACGGTTACGTGCTTATCTTAGATTTGGTTTCAGACAGTGCTGGCATTGTGTTTAGATCTATCATAGTTTTTGATTTTATATAGATTCGTTCGTTCATTCGTTGCTGGATAAAGGCCTCCCCCAATGATTTTCTCAACGATCAGCCCTACGCCGCCCGCATTTTGGCACCTCCCGCGACCTTCACCAGATCATCGGTCCACCTAGTTATAAAGATTATTACCACCATCTCCAGTAATAAAATAAATATGCGAATAAAAGGCCTCTCATCTGGCCAGGCCAAGGCAAGTAATGAAGGCTAAATGCCTCATTTGTTTCTGATGAATTACAAAATTTGGCCAATGTGGAAATCATTGGGGGTGGCCTATGTTCTGCGGTGGACGTAACGTCCTATGGCTGAAATGATGATGATGATGATGATGAAATTACAAAAGATCCTGCTCCTGATAAACTAAATGACCTACCTCAGACAGCATATTCCTCACAGCCTGTTCATCCACTTTTTCTCCAAGACTCACGAGGGTGGCACGAAGGTCGCTGTGGTCGATGCAGCCGTCTCCATCCAAATCGAATAGTAGAAATGCCTGCAAACACACATTCCAAGTAAAGTCGACGGCATAAAATATCATGCTGATCACTATATCATCAATGTAGTTATTATAACAAAAAAAATGCTAATTTACTACCAAAATGTAAAGAATTAAGATTTTGTAACAAAATTCATATTTTATTCATTTGGTTCTAAAACAATAAGGCTGGGTTGCACCGTCTTACTTTAACTTTGACAAACGTCAAAAATCTGTTAAGCTCTATAAAAAAGTACCGGTTATTGTTATAGTTACGGTCAAAGTTAGGTGGTGAAACTGCCTAAAATATGCCTAAATAGGTAATCTAAATGAAGATGAAAAGGTAAGGCCCAGCTAATGCTTTAACAATTAACACTTATTATTGTGATTTTTTTCGACCTAATATTTCTGAGGTGGTAAACAGTAAAATTATTATTTTGAAGGCTCCGGTCGCAAGTACTCCTTAACGTCAATAAAATCATCTGAATTTCAAGGAAATATCTCATTTTACTTTGCGTAAAATCTAATAATATCATCAAAGCGTACCTAAGGATAGAAATTATTTTGTTCTTGGAAACAAACGTAAGTGGAAACTGTAGTCCGGATATTTGTCAAAACAATCTCAAGGTCTTGTTTGTGGTTCTTTCTTTGTTTCGGATTATCATAAGTACCTAGAAGGCTTTCTATAGTGTTTCCAAAAGATTTTCTTGGCTTATTATATTTACCACGGAATAATTTTCTGACCTTTTGGATGTTTTCCGACGGAAAAGTACCTATAAACTAGGCTACATAAATAACTAACTTTTCAGCTTCAATCTACAAAAATTTCATTTCCCAATTTTCTCTAAAACAAACCGCCCACCTACGCGTACATTTTCCTTTTATGTTAAAATAGTTGGAAAATTATAAACTTACGGAAAACTGATACATATTTTAGTAACTCTGCTACAAAACAATTAATTTTCAATTCACTAAATTAAGCCTAGATAGGTACTCTTTAAACAGGCGTTTGTAAAATATTTCTCTGTTAGTGGTGTTTTTTATTTTTAATAATCACATTAAGGCCTTTTAACTTTTTCCATTAAACCTGGTATTTCAGTATTTTAATAAGTCTTAGAATTACCTAACATATCGATATGGATAACCAGTATAAACTCGTAGGTAATTAAGACTTCATCATAGCTAAGGATGTGTGTATCTGGATCAAAAAATTAAGTCTTTTGAAGCATGTATCTAAATTAATACTGAAAGTCATCATTTCTATACTAGGATCAAACCTTCAATCGCTAAAGAACAAATATTAAGTTACTTACTTGTTACTTATATGTAAGCTCACCTTCCCATGTTCTCAGTAGGTAAATAGAAGCAGGTATCGTCTGAATAGGTATTATACTATCAGAGAGTGTAAGTAACTAAGTTGGTACCTAATAGGATTACAACGGTGTGAATGTTAGTACCTTCGGGAGAGGTGAAGCTTCGGGAAAGCCGTAGTTTTTAACAGAGAGCTTTATTTTTATCTGTTAAACCTCTTTTTTCGTGATGCATTTTAAGAGTTGCCGAATCTCTTCTGTTTTATTTATGAATATGATGACTAATACCAATGTGGTATTACAAATTAGCGACCTGCATCCGCTTGGCATGGCTTGACTGGTGCAATGCATTATGAATCTAAATCTTCCTTCCTATTTAATCACTCTATCTGTTGATGAAAACCGCATTAAAATTAGTGACTTAGTTTAAAAATAAGCATACAGACAGAGAGATTTTTAATAGTTATAACATTAAGGGCCTTTGCTCAACTTTATTGAGGTATCTTGATCACAGAATATTTGTAGCTTCAATTCATTCACTTCAGCGAATATGTTTGTGGATCTAGAATATCTTTGACATAGATAGTCTATTTAAAATATCCCTTAAGTGCTGAAATGTTAAATACTTACTTCTTTCAGCTCAAACAGCTTCGTTTCATCCAGCTCGGCTAGAACATTTGCGGGTATATGCAGAGCTTCCCTAGCCCTGGAGGCCGATCGGGACCGGGCTGGTTGTGGGATCGCTATTTCGTCGTACCCATTCTCGGACATTATCGTACTGAAAAGGACATAAATTAGATTAAATTAAGACGTAGCGTGGGCAAGCCTCCCACTAGGTGGACCGACGATCTGGTGAAGGTCGCGGGAGGTGCCTGGATGCGTGCGGCGCTGGACCGGACTTTGTGGAAATCCTTGGGGGAGGCCTTTGTCCAGCAGTGAACGTCTTTCGGCTGAAACGAACGAACGAACGAATACATTTTACGTCAAGTTTGACTCCAAGCATTTCTTAGATAGGTTAGATGATAGTTTGGATGATATTTTTGAATATTTCAGTCATATCAATTTATAATATCTATTTTTAAAAAATCGGTTTTATTTTTAATCGGCTTCCAAATAAGAATCACAAACAATCTGAACAGCCAAAGTTTATAAAAATCCTAAGCACTCCCAGATTATATAATTTATGGACACAATTTCTTGAAAAGGAAAAATATACCAAGCTAATACCATTACCTTAAGAAGATTGTTATTCAAAAGTCGTCCTAAAGGAAGCGGAATAAAAATGTGTTCGTCGTAGCGACACTATTTCTTTAAATGGAAGTAAAAATATCCTACTTATCCTACTAATATTATAAATGCGAAATTTTAGATGACTGGATGTTTTGATGTCTGGATGGATGTTTGTTACTCTTTCACGCAAAAACTACTGAACGGATTTTGATGAAACTTTACAGTATTATTGTTTATAACCCAGAATAACATATAGGCTATAATTTACGACGATTTGTGACAAATTAAATTTCACGCGGGTGAAGCCGCGGGCAAAAGCTAGTTGAATATAATGCAATATACTTTTACTACGTAGCAAAACCTTGACCTACGAGTATGTACTCGTACTATGGAACTTGAAAGAAAATGACATAGTAAAATGTTAAGACTTATTTTTTCATCATGGATATGGGATAGAGTCGTTGGCTATCCATAAAACTGCTATGAACTTTAACATACAACCCCTTGAATTTTTTATTTCACTACGTGCAATGGAATAAGCCAAGGAAGATAAATAGAAGGAATCACGAATTAACGTATTATTTTAATTTTAAAATTAACAGTTAACCTTGATTTTTTAGGATTCCGTAGAAAAATGGCAAAAAACGGAACCCTTATAGATTCGCCATGTTTTTTAATTTATTTTCTCATGAGCAACCAGAGACATGAACTCGATGTTATAAAAGTTGAAATGTTTTCCATTCAAAAAAATATAAATCTACAAGTATGTTATGTAGGTACTTACTTACGGATTGTGGTTAGTCTATCCATTAAAAATCCTTTAGTCAAATCATTCTTATACAACTATCGTACTTCTCTTTAGGTGAAAACTTAATTATTGTAAGTATATTATGTAATTAAATCTCCCGAACTTAATTAAACCAACTCTAATTTTCAACCTTACCAAAGAACCTGCGTAATTTGCGCCACGCAAAAGCACTTGTTTTTTATTCCCGGTGGCAGTAGCGGGTAATGTGCGGGACTCCGGGATGACCGGGATAGGTCGTGAGCAACACTTTGCAGGTTTGCTTTATAGAAATTAAGCTGTAGTGGTAGTGCACACTTTTTAAAATGTAGGTTTTACAGATATTTACAGTAATTTGATTTAGTATGCAATGAGAGGGTCGCCCTCTTCAAAATTCAAAATTGGAACTTTCGCCAAAGTAATTCTTAATTTTCAACTTTTATTGAAAACTTATTTGTCAATAGTCCGTAGACAAAACCCAGGCCGTTTCATGTTCTGAATTATATTTGCATTTTTTGTACATTCATGAGAAGTAAATAAATAATGTAAATGCGTTAAAAGAAAAGTTACCGAAAACATGAATTTAGTGGATTAATATGACTAAAACAACTATTGTACTTACTCTCCAGAAGCAACCGATTGCAGGAGGTTTTCCTTGAATTTCTTTATTTCATCTTTTCCTGAATCCATCTCGGGCTTGCTTCGTCGCCTCTCCCCTTTCGTTTTGTTCTGTTAAAATATTGGCATTCAAGTAATTGCTTACAACATCGCAATAACAAAATAACAGTGTACTAATAAACCGGAGCAAACAGGTATTTTATATTAAAAACGGGATCACTCTCGGAATGAGCCCTTAGAGTTTAATTGTCGACAAATTTTATTGGGCCCTTTCCTTCCCTTTGAAGATGCCCTTTGAACGAATATTCCCAACATAAAACACGAACATCAGAAAACACTCAAAGATGTATCGTAACGAGATACCCGACACTTACCTTCTGTTTCTCGCCATTATTATTTTCTTCTTCCATGTTTCGGGGGTTCCTATTTCTCTAACACTTAAGTCTCCTTTACAGCACTTTCACATATGCGTGGTTTCCCACGACTGAGCGTTGCGTTGCTGGCACTTAATATACGACATTTTAAATATGTTTGCGTTAGAAATTATGTTGCACATGCTGAGATAATTATTTATTTCGCTCCAGTGCACGCAGATTTCGAGATTAGTTGGGATGTTTGCGTAGACTAATTAATCTGTGGACAGAGAGAGACTGGTCTAAGATTTTCAGGTCAACGAATTGTTTGGGCCCCGTTCAGATTTTCCACTTGCCTGCAAGCGAAAGGGCCGCGATGGCCGCCGTCTGTTTGTCAGAAATTATGTGTTTTGCGCTTAATGAGATGTTGGATTGTTTCTGAATTTGGAAACGCCATTTGGTGGAACTCCGAAGGCTCCGTTGTTTGAGATGTAATTGCAAATATCTGGAATGAAATCGGGGTAAACTTTTGTTATGGTTGGGATAAATTGTCATTTGTGTTGAGGAATAGAATGTCTCTACGAAAATATGACATAACTTGTTTTTGATTCTTATTACTATGAAACAACACTTGAAAACTTAATCTCGGGCACAGATTGAGGTTTTGATTGGATGAAATTCAATATTTAGACCAATAACAAGCTAGAAATACGAGCGTGATCTCAATACTTAAACACAAATTAAAAATAAAGAAACACATAACACATAATCACATTCAATTTGATTCCTCGCAAACGCAATCCCAAATAAACCTAGTCTTAAACCGCATTAATTCGAAAGTGCTAAGTGAAATTAGATTTCGCGCGTTTCAATAAATTAACCGGTAATGAACCGACGCAACTCTGGCTAAATTTACTAGCTAGTGCAGTCGGAGTTAAAGAATTTACGGTTTTCAGCTGAACGGTGCTTGGAAAGCAAACAACACAATTAGGTATTTAATTCTCTAGCTTACCTTTATCGTCTTTGCGAGTTGAGGATCGTTCTCATAAACGTTTAACTAGGTGTTGTATAATTTTACTGAACTTCAAAAATTGTATCACTTTTGTTCAGTGTTTGTTTTTATGGTTAGTAGAGTCACTTTGTAACGATTGTTATCTAGATTTATATTCATGGCCTAAAACTTGTATGAAATATCATGAACTAAGTCTGAACTAAATAATCATTTAGGTCTAAGTCTGATGAATACTTTATAAACAAATTTATTTCACCGTAAGTTCCCGTCTGACGTCTATGACGCAAGCGGCAGGAGTTAGTAACACTAATTGGGTAATTATACAAAATTATTATGTCGTTTCATTAACATGCGTACATTTCGCAAATCGTGTATCTCCTCAGGACTAAAATATTAGGATGAGTCACATTCATGATCCATTTGCCTAAGACTTTGTTGATTCAAAACTTTCAAAAGCTTATTATAGATGACCCACGCTGAACTGTCCCACCAAACTCAATGACAGGGGGGCGCTACCATCGTTCAACTATATGGTTTCCAACATGGCAAAAATCGGAACTAGCGATCCGTTATTGACGGTGGCGCCCCACTGTCAATGTCATGCATAGGACAGTTCAGTATTTTGGAACTATAAAAAGTTTATAATATTACTGTATTTTTCTTTCTGAAAGAGAAAAAAAGGTCCGATACATTTCGATCTGTAGAAATCTTACCGGGAAATCAATCAGTGGAAAAGTGAAGAATGTAGAGCGATTGACGTTCAAAAGTTCTTCATTATTTTACACTTAATATTATTCAACACAATTGAAACAATGAAAGCAGCGAACAGTATTTTAATTCAACTCATAATCCTTCCATTATCATTTTTATATCATTCAGCTCATTTCTTACTTACAAAAGCTGTTCAAATACTGCGACTGTTGCGCTGAACAGGCAAAATCTTATGAGCTCTTAGCATAATTGACAATGGCTTTATGTATCGCACTATCGAACTGAGAATTTTACATTAAATATTCAACGTCCCTACAAAAGCACGGGCGGTATCGCGCTCTATGCAAAAGATGGACTTAGACCGGGCGCTGTGGAAACCAATGTGAACTCATTGAGTTTGGGAAAATGCATTTAATATTTTAGTAGGTTATGGGTACTAGTATAATGGTAGTTAAAACTTTTCTGGTGTGCTTTAAATGCCTGATGACAAATGTAGAAAGATTATTTTAATATGAAAATATTTTTTAATGTACGATGTTTGTTACTAAATTGGATTGTAAAACTTAGATATTTATCTAGTTGCCATAGTATTATGTTCCGCTTATCTTATAGTAGTAGTAGTATTTTTAATAACTAGTTAGACGGTTAAAAAATGTCAAAAGATACAGACTGTCCCTAAAAGTAGATCGGCTCATATTTTGGATCACCAGCGCCTTTTCTAAGATTTAAGCGAGCAGCTTTTGTGCAACGACGTTTTAACATTGAATTTATTGGAATACAAATCTTTAAAAAAATATTCAGTATCGTACTGTATTTGTATTATTATAGTTGCTAAATGAACTTCAATCGATAAATTAGGAATGAAACCAAATGTCTTTTAGTAGTGTTTCTAGAACTACCCATTTTGACAATGGTTCTCATTTAATTATATTATGAGCATAGCTATCACAGTTACGATATTACCTCCTAACGGCGCCTGAACATCAAGTTACAATATTCTCTTAATCGAAACTATATTCAAACATTGTCGCCATGTCATTTGGCGTAATTGCACAAGTAACAACCACTCCGACCTTCCGTTTTGCGTACAGCACTACCGTTGTTAACTGGCCAATTAAAGTAGACCCGCGACATCTGTACTCAATGTCTTTTTATCGCCATAATTTCCCACGACCCCATCGGGCGGGAGGTCTCCCCAATCTGGCGGACTATTCCGTTTCGGGACGAAAACGTTTCCCTACTCATTATCGTTAACAAAAGGGTTCGACTCGATTTACATTTCGTTGTAGTGTTCGCTACTATTGTGTCGACGTTTAGCCTGCCGCTCCCGATTTTACTGTTTACGTATATTAATTAATCAAGTATTCATTACGTCTGAAGTCTGCTATTCAGAGGTCGGCCGTATCCAATAACCCTGAGTCAAATAACGGAACGTGCCGGAGCGTACGGCACGAAATTTATATTAGACATCGACATCGCTTGGAAAAGACAAACATTCCGTCTTTATGAGGCAGACACGGCATGTAATATCGAGATTTGTATTGAAGAAGAAGGATTACGCAGTTACAATTATGCAAATGGCGTTTGGGGACGTTTGAGGGGATCGCACGTCATTGCTTCCCATTCGTATTCGGGAAAACGGCATGATTTTATGATTTCCATTCGTCATATCAAATTCTTAAGCCGACGCCCAACCAGAATACCTAGAAAATTACACGAACGTAGGTAGTCTGGCGTTCATAGGCAAATAGTTAATTTTGAAATAGGAACCGCATTGAGCGTTATCGTCAGACGATTATGTTTGCAATTTGAAGTTAGTCCAGTCAATGAATGCCTTAACGACGGTGTAGAGAGAAATCCGTGGAACACAATTTCTGACCTCGGGACTTTATTTAGCCTAGTTAGGTGGTGAACATAGCAAAAGTCCCCGCCCTTAGCCCTTGAGCCGGCAGGGAGAGGGGGGTTTAAAGGTACCACTTTTCGGTTTTTCGCTTAATCCTCGGAAACTATGCGTCCTAGTGACATGACTACTATGAACCAAAAAAAGCTTATTCAATTTGCTACAGGCGAGACCGTCAAGTTTTTCTATATCTTGTATAGTTTTTGCGGCATCTGCCTCTAGAAGGTCTGTAAAATTGGAAATTTAATTTTTGTCTTACATGTTCCTATCAGGAGAAAATCGACTAAATCAACATTGAGCAAACACTATAGACATGCAGGAGCATTATCATTAAGGTACATTTCTATTCTTAGCGAGAAGACTGTCAAATTGCATGGAAAAGTAAGCGCGCTGCGATCACTACCCACGACTTCAGTAAAATACAATTTTAACATCCAAATCTCATAATTTCTTTTAATGAAAAGCAAAATGGTGTTTGCTTTTTAATATAGCAGTTGTAATTATACCAACCTCAATACCTGGTTCTATGAAATTTAATACCCCCGACAATTATTAAGTTTCTGAGGACATTCTGATAAAATATTTTCGTGATATCACAAATTCCAAATATCTTGGTGTCAATAAATCATGCTCCGAATATTAATTCATGGCGTGAAAACTTTTCAACTTTGATGGAAAATTTTCCCTAAAAGAATAAGTTGTTTGAAGTGTGGGGGATGATTAATGTGTCTCATGCGCTACATTTTACAAAAAAAAAAAGCAATAAAGATTATCGGATAGAAAAATGGCATACAGCTATAGAGGTAGGTATTTATATCCGTTTGAAAAAGGCCGTCCTAGACTACTCACTTGTTTTTACACTGCCTATATAAAAATAAATATTCGAAGACGTGGACTTATAAGAAATGATAAAGTCATAACCAGAAGTTAAGATCTGGTTAAAAATCATTATCGTCGTACTATTCTATTCTATTTTAGTCCAGTCAATGAATGCCTTAACGACGGTGTAGAGAGAAATCCGTGGAACACAATTTCTGACCTCGGGACTTTATTTAGCCTAGTTAGGTGGTGAACATAGCAAAAGTCCCCGCCCTTAGCCCTTGAGCCGGCGGGGAGAGGGGGGTTTAAAGGTATCACTTTTCGGTTTTTCTCTTAATCCTCGGAAACTATGCGTCCTAGTGACATGACTACTATGAACCAAAAAAAGCTTATTCAATTTGCTATAGGTGAGACCGTCAAGTTTTTCTATATCTTGTATAGTTTTTACGGCATCTGCTCTAGAAGGTCGGTAAAATTGGAAATTTTATTAGTAGTCATGTCACTAGGACGCATAGTTTCCGGGGATTAAGCGAAAAACCGAAAAGTGGCACCTTTAAACCCCCCTCTCCCCGCCGGCTCAAGGGCTAAGGGCGGGGACTTTTGCTATGTTCACCTCCTAACTAGTCTTAATAAAGTCCTGAAGTCAGAAATTGTGTTCTACAGTTTTCCATCTATAATGCTTTATTGACTGGACTATTTAGAAATTTCAAAATTTCAAATCATGA